TGGGCAGCCTGGCAGAGGGGCATGGCAGGGGAGAAACAGCCCACAGCAGGGCAGGCAGGAGGCAGCAAGGAGCATTATGAAGCCTTTTCCGCCTGTTATCTCATCCAGGCTACAAGCCTTTTGCTTGGTGTGTTACCCATACCTAGGGTGGACCTTTCCATTATGGACACTCACAACTACACTAAACTAATCACTGGACTCATTTAGTATCGAATGCCCTTGATCCATATTTTCACAACCTCCAGAGACCTCCCCAAAAGCCCCACATACAAACACATTTGGGAGAACATCTAGATACAAACCATAACAAATGCTCTCATTTCCTGTTGCCATAACTTGGAAATTATAGGTTAAAAAGTCAGAAAGACACGAGAAGGAAGGAGAGGAGATCTCTGGGTTCCTGCCTGGCATGGAGGTGCCTGGGAAGCCCCTGGACATCTGGTTATCCTGAGGGGTAGCTGTGCCTCACCACCATCAGCCAGGATTTTTGTTATGGTGTCATCACCTTGTCTAATCATTCTTTGTCAGCCTCCTATGTTACATTTATTTTACTGGATCTTGAAATCTAACTGTCAAAGAACCACCCCTGAGGAGACTGCTTAAAACTATGCACAGTCACTTTTAAAATAAAATAAATTTAAACGACCCTTATTAAATGAGTAGTCTGAACCTTTGGGACTGTCTGTTACAATAATTAGCTTTTACAATAGCAAGGTCAGAAGGTCTTGATGTAACCCAGCTAGGATTGGTTCTGTGCTTATCTTTTGAAGTTCTCCAAAATTCAAAATACTGTCTTTTTCATGAGTAATCCAAGCCACTTCTTAAGCATCTCAGATTCAAAAGTCTGCCATAGGTTCAAGTGAAATCCTTTTTCAAAAAATTAATTTCTTCTTATTTCATGCCTATGGAAGTGGAGATTTTAAAATTGTTCATTACACCCTTCCTCACAAAGCCTTTCCTCTCAGAGGTCATGGTCCTCTTGTCACTTACACTTCTCCCTGTAAGCACTGCAGATTCACTTAACCACTCCCGTAATCCTCTAACAAGATTCTGGCTAATCCCATCCAGAATGCAGAGCTGATTTGATTTCCTGACTGTGAGGAGCAGTCTCCTTGTCATTGCAGGCCATTGTCCTGTGGGTGCCACTCACGGTTTCCTGCCCTTGCAGACGGGAACTTAGTTCCAGCTTTGTGCTAAGACCTTTCCCTCCTATTAGTGTTCCTCCTCTGGCTGGGAACACTCTCTCCAGCTGCTAAAATTTGACCTTGGCAATTTCAGCAATCTTTTTTATTTATAGCTTCTGAAGTTTGTGTCATACCTAAGAAAGCTCTCCCCATTAAAAAAAAAGTTATCTTTAACTCCAAAAAAGTAAAATTATATTTGACCAGGGACCTGACTGCCCTGTTTTGTCACCTTAGTCACAGAAAATCCCTGTATACAGTATACGCTGTATAGCTGTGGTCATTGATGTGAATGTCCCCTTGCTGGCTTGCTGTGTCCTGACAGGAGTGCACTGTGTTTCACGGAGCTCTGATATATTCTTCCTAGGGCGTCTCATACATATTTACTATTGCCTATGCATCCTCCTCCTCCTCATCTCCATGAAATTTCTATCATGAGTGTGGAATTTTGCTCTGTTTTTATAAACATAGTGAAAGTTTTTTCTATGTTTATTTGGTCCTGGAAATTTCCAAAGTATTGTCATGCCACCTTATTAAATACCTAAGAGCACAGTTTCCAAAAATCCTCAGTAGAATGACTTCCAGAATGAAAATAATTGCCCCAAGGAATTATCAGTCTGTGGGTTTTGTTATTTTAATACTCTACACCAGTATGCTGTGTAGATAACCTGTTTCCCTCTGCACCACCCCCTCTCCTCCGCAGTCAGACCTCTCACAGGCTCTACACTCCCTATCATGGTACATATTGCCTTCTACTCTAATTGCATCACTGTCTTCTCCCTTTATTGATAAGTTCTTCTAAAGCTAGACCCATATCTGTCTTGGTCACTATCTTATTTACTTTATTATTTCTGGGCCAGAGTACCCAACACCCACAAGTTGATGGAGGAGAGATTTCTTTTGTCTCACAGTTTGTAGAGGTTTCAGTCTATAGTCAGCAGGCTCCAAAGTAGGGCAATATGACAGAGGAGAAATAGCTCATAGCATGGCAGGCGCGAAGCAGGACAGAGATCAAGGGAGAAGTGAAATATATTTTTCCAGGCCACACCCACAGTGACCAGCCTCTTCCCACCAGGCTTCACCTCCCAACAGGAAATCCAGCGGTAAACCTGTCAGTGGACTAATCCAATATCCATGACCCTGTCACCTCCCAGAAGTCCCATGCATGAGCACATGAGGCCCTGGGGGTGGGGTGTGCATCTAGGTATCGACTCCCAGCCTAAAGTGACTTTGTGGGACCTCGTCTAATGAGCGACTGGATACATGAATAGAGAGAGGAGGCATCTGTGCATCCCAGAAATACATAAGACAGACCTGACTTAAAGCAGCTGCATTTTGATTTTCACCTATGCAATGCTGTGAAAGCCTTCAGCAGAAGTCATATTTTTTGAATTCTGACCTTTCTCAGGTTGGTGATGCACCATTTGATCCTCTCCTGGGGTGGGCAGGAGCAGCGAGCAGCCCACAACCCGTCAGCTATCACAAGGAGAAATGGCCAGGACTCCACGGGAGCTTGGAGTCCTGTCCTGGTAGAGATGGTCTCGCAGCTCCTGTTTACCTGCTTCTGCCCACCTTCTGAGCTCAAGTCACTAACAGAGTAGCGCTGAAGTTAGTGGTGGACGTAGCTAACATTTCTGGTATACCGTGTGCGAGGTTCAGTTCTAAAGGTCTCACATTTAGCACTAATAGTCCTTGTGTCTTAGTCATCTTCCTCGTCACTGGGACAGACTATCCACACTCACAGTTTAAAGGGGAAGGGTTACTTTTGCTCTCATTTCAGTGCATAGTCTGCTGACTCTGAGGCAGAATGCCCTGAGGGGCATGGCAGAGGAAAGTGGCTCTCAGTGTGGTGGGTGGTAGGTGGGATACAGAGGGCCTGAGGAGGAGCTGGGAAGGGAGATAAACCCTTGCAGGCCACACCTTCAGTGACCCCTCTAAAAGCGCTGTCTGTAAGTGCATGAGGCTCTGAGGGGACATATAGATAGAAGCCATGACACCCTGTGCTACAGATGAGAACCTCAGGTCCCAAATCCTAAAGCCAGCATGTGCCAAAGCAAGAGTCTGACCCCAGACCCCCATTCCAGACTCCTGCTGTACTGTTAGTGTTTATGAAGTTGGCCGTCATATGTCAGACCCACTTGAGGGGAAGATGAATCTCCTGTCACCTCCCATCCTCCAGTTTTCCTCTTCAGTGCCTCATTGTCAGTCACCTGTGAGTGGTTTCTCATCATCTCATGATCTGCTGCTAAGATCAGAGAGTAGGTCCCATCTTCACATAAGAAACTGGGGCATAGGAAGTCAGAGTGATGTGGCCATGCCACACTAGGGTAGGAGGTCAGTGTTTGCACTTGGTCATTGGTGGCTCCAAACTGTTAGGTTTATTAACTGACCTTTTGAAGGCTGTGGGGGTGGGGGAGTTCCATGTGACAAAGGCCTAAGGCAGGGGGTACCTCATTTGCTTGCATTCCATTTCTCTTGGAGAAAAATTATTCCAGGTCCCATGATTTTTACCATGAAAAGTCTTCTCTGAACCAGAGAGAAGCATTCTGAAAGAAGTTATTAAGCATTATTAATATAATTACATATAACAAAAGACATAATTTAACTTCCCCACATCCAACAAAGAAACTCATTTGAAGCTTCAGGAGCTCCAGCTGAAAGGGCAGAGTGGGCTCTCCAGGAGGGGCATGTGGGCGGGGAGCCATGGCTGCTTTGTCCTCAGGAGCTTCTGTGGGGTGCGCTGCTCTCCCTGACCTCCCAGCCCCTCCCCCGCTCCCCATCGCCTCACCTGTGCTAGAAAATCCTTGTTGGTACCAACACTGAGCTCAGGCCTGCTTCCCACCTGGCTTAGGTGGTGACAGGCAACAAGAGAAGAAAAATTTACTTTATGCAATGAAAGTAATGACCATGGGAGTACTCACAGGAGAGAGCCATTGGCCAGCCTAGTAGACATAACACCTCAATGAATTCTTAGGACATCATGCAAAATATCTCTTGTTTGTGTGTTGACACTGTGTTAACCCTCACCTCATGGTTGTACTGGATATTTGCACTTCTGCTGTGCAGTTTTAGTATACAGCAGCTGAAGGGAGCAGAACACCCGGGCCCTAGAACCATGTGTGACATGGAGTCTGTGCTTAGTAAATACTTACAGTATCATTGATTGGTACATATAGCATCATCGACAAGCCCACAAGGTAAGTCACTTAATCTAAAGTCATTTTGCTAGCAAGCAGTAAAGCCAGGATTCCAGACCAGAGCTCTCCAACTCTATTGAGATCTCTCTTCCTAAATCCTTGAATAGGCCTCCCTTGGGGCCAACCGTAGATTCCAGACCGGTTTCCACACAGCCTCTGGTCTCTTGCCTGACAGATAAGGATGTGGAGACAGAGCTCTCCCAGGGCCTGATTGCCCTCAGATTCTCCTGGGCAGGCTTATCTTTAGGGCACTCACTTGCCACTGTGGTGTGAGGAAACGTGACTGCCAGGGAGGCAGCCGGTGTGTTTTATTCCTCAGCATTCGGAAACCCAAAGGTGTCATAGTCCCAGACAGGCAAATTGCTGATACCTTGCGGTAAATGTTGGAGGAAAGAAGGCAAAATGAAGTTCGGCGTTTGAAGGCTCAGCACAGCCTTTGATTGGGGATGGGGAGGGCTCTGGTGCCACTGCTGGGCTGGCGCGCAGATAATCTGAACCGAGCGCTCAGGTTGATAACCGTGCCCAGCTCTGATCCCTGGCCCATCAGAGTACTGCTTTTGAAAAGGAAAAACAGCCGTGTGTCTTTAAAGCTTCTCCTCTTCTATGTGATTTCTTGGGTACTCTGGGAGGCGAAGCGCTGCGCCTCTGCGTCAGCAAAGGCTCTCTGCCCTTTCCCCAGAGTGGGGATTATTGATTTGGAAGGCGAGGCTAATTTACATGTAAATAAATCTGAGCCGGCCTCGGGGTGGGACGTCCAGATGTGGTGACTGACTTGCTGACATCACGGCCTTATTAGCATGCGGAGGATGCAGGCACTGCAACAGCGACTTCTCTGGCACCATCAGCCGCTCCGCTGCCGACAGTTATTATTTTTTGGCCAAGCTGCACATTTCCTGGCTCGGGGGCTTGGACTGTGCACGAAGCTCGCCGGTCTTCCCAGACTGGCTCGGGATCAGTTGGTGACGCTGAGGCTGGGCTCTGTGACTTCCTTTAGACTGTCGTGAAGGAGGAGAGTTCAGAGGAAATGAGGGTGGCTGGGGAGCTCAGGCAGACCAGGAGGAAGGGTAGAAGCCACACTTTCCTGGGCTCACTGGAGCTCTGAGCAGGACCTGGACCCAGCAATAGTGGAGAGGTACAGAGCTGCCTGGGCTGGAGTCTGCTGCTGTTGTCTGTCAGGAGGGGCTCAGATTTGCAAAGGCGTCAGAAGAGAAGATGCATTGGCTGCTCGAGGTCCTGCTTGCGTTCTTAGAAACCAGATCCAGGGAGAAAGTGAACCGGGGCAATTGACAAGCTCCAGGATCTGGGAGAAGCTTCCTCGGAAACTGGGTATCTCGTCCTCCCCAGAGGTGGGTAAAAAATTTACTCTAATTCCCAAATTAAATAGCAGTATATTTTCTAGAGAAGATGCGAAAACATGTAGGCTGTTGGCATTGAGAGAGGATGTTATCTTGGGCAGGTAGTGTTTCTAGCAGTCAGTTCAATTGCAAAGTGATATGTCGCAGGTTTAAGATCTCCCAAAGGGTGGGGGCAGATCTACCAAAGAAATGCTTAAATCTTGGTGCTTATGAAGCTGGATTTGCCCAAAAGCACACTAGTTAATAATAATAATAATAATAATAATAGGAGAAAGGGTTAAAAACCCGAACACTTGGCAGCATTCACGCACCAGTGTTGTCTCAGCACATGATGTCAGGAATATCAGAGGTGCTGGGGCAGGAGTGCGTGGCTGAGACTTCACAGTCAAGAAATGGCTCTCAGAGTAGTTAGGTTTAATTTTAACCTGTGCTTTCAGATTAGAAATCCTGACAGAGCCTCAGAATTTGTCTACTTGCATAACCTGCTGAAACACATCAGTTGGTCTGTTCCTGTCCTGGGCTTTCTGATGGAGTTTTCATAGTTTTGAGTCTCCCCTCAAAACAATTGTGGCATTATTAATTTGCCATGGGGGTCTCACAGTGAAATACAGGTCTTTAATCCCATTAATCTTTGCTATTCGATCTTGGACTATGCTGAAATCCTGTAGGACTTTTACGAACTGTAAGTCACTGGCCAGGACTGCGTCACACTGGAACAAATGCTCCATACCAAATGCAATGCCATTCGCCAGCCCACATGTGGCTCTGGCATAACTGAGGCACAAAGATGCTTTCTGCAGCGACAGAGCTCTGCTTCCAGTGTGAGCGTGTCCAGAACATAGTGTGGGGGGGGGGGCTCCTGTGTGCCATACATTTACAGATGTGCCCTGCCGTGTGTGCCCGGTTTGCAGCTGCGTGTGTGTGTGTGTGTCTTCCTGACCAGTGCTTTAAACCATCTTGAGGAGACTTAAACTGTGTGGAGCAGCCTGGCTTCCTTGCTAGAGGCCAGGCTGCTCTCATCCTGTCCCCAGAAGGCTGACTGCCTGCCGATGGCTTTCACAGATGGCTTGGGATGACGGTCCCCATGAGCTCTACAGTAAGTCACAACTTTGACAAAATTACCATCTTCTGGAAATTTGGATTTTAATGCCTCCTTGATTGCTGATAAAGGTTTTGCCTTTCCATTCAATGTCCTTTTCCCTTTAGGAATTCTTTTTTTTATTGTGAAAATTAAAACCTACGGGCTTCATCTAGCCTTGAGTCTGTAGAGTCATAGAGCAGGCAGAAATGAGAATGTTGAAATGACCTGTTTTGAAGGGTTTGCCCATGAAATGTGGGGACAGATTAGAAATACAGGAAGAGTGATGCCCACGGAAGCTTAAGGAGAAGGAAATTAGAGGTTAACAGCAGGAGATGATGTTTTTCCAGGGCTCAGAGTCCAAGAACTGAAGATCCGGGAAGCTGCATCTCTGAGGTTCGATTCCTGTCAGTAAAATGGGGAGAGAAACAGAACCTAGAGGCAGGGTGGTAGCTGTGGGAATTTGATGAGCTGACACATGAGGTGGGTAGATGCCCAGCCATAATGGTGAATATTTGCTAAATATTAGCTGTACATATTGCTGGCATTGACCTTGTTTCTTTTTTGTCATTATCATTGTGCATGGAATGCTGGAAACAAAACAGTCCCTTGAAAAGGCAATGTGTTCCCATCCATTTGCCTGCAGAAAGGCTTTGCAGGCAGAAGAGGTCCTGCCTTTAGTCACTGTGGGCAAACCTATTCCTACTCAGAGTAACTTCCAATGTATTGGTTGGGTTGACAGAATGAAGTACAGTATCCAGAACTACCACACTTAGCAGAACTAAAAGTGGCTGGGCAGTGTAATGAAAATCATTTAGTGCCACCTGGGGCTCAGCACCCCAAAAGAAGGCCTCCTATCTTGGCAGCTGACAAGTCACATGGAGAAAGCTGCGGGGTCCAAATTGGAACTGATGCATTTCTGGATTTTTCTTCTGCTCCTGCCCTGCATGTGAGAAGCATTCCTTTCTTTCCTTCTGTCTTTTCAGGGCAGTCACTTAGCATTTACTTCACACACACACACACACACACACCCAGAGAGGCCACTGAATACATGCTTCACCCACTGGGTGGCTCCTCCAAAGTTCCAAGGCTGAATTGGTGCCACCACCTGGGTGGCTTCCCTTTTGCACTTTTTTAAGAAAAGAGAATTGGCCTCCCCTGCCTGCCTGTCTGCCCCTGTGCACCCTCTCTGGTTTCATTTTACATCCACGGCCAAGACTCATCTTTGCCAGACTCGTGCCCCTCCATCCCCATGAATACCCTTCCACGTGCAGTTGGGCAGCTGCTTCCCCCTGTCCTCCCAGCATCTGTGTTTTGAATTTAGGAGAAAATGGTTCTCTAGTGCCGGGATCTCTAAGACAGAAGAAAATTAATGGAGTCAGAGGAGGCTGGCCTACAGTTCTTTTTCAGTAAACTCATACTTGGGGGTTGATAACTCAGGCTGCCACTGATCTTGGTAGAGTTGTGTTTTGCGTGGAGAATCCTATTTAGCCCACCTGCGTCGCCTTCTGTTTAATAGATGTGACCTTGGGAGAGCTGCCCAATCTCTCTGAGCTTTGACTTCTGCAAGTCAGTATGGGGAATGATCCCCTGTGCGTTGAAGACTGTGTGGAGAGGGTGATTAAGTACCTGTCCCTGTTCCTGGCACTTACAGGATGGCACATTATTTGCCTTTGGTGCCAGGGACTTTCATGTTTCCTATTTACTTGCCACCTATGAACAGCAGGGGGCGATTGTTTTAATATTCGTTTGTCAGAAAAACTGAAGGCCATGGAAGCAGAGTAATCTCAGCAACACAGCTGGTGACAGCTCCTGGTTCCCAGTGCTGTTGTCTGTGTCCTGGATTCCTCATGCCCAAAATTCTTACAGTCTCTTTGATCAGAAGCCCCCGGATCCTGGTCCCCTCTCTTGGCTGGTGTCTTCATGCACACAAGAGTCCAATGCTCTGTGCCTTCGGTCAGAGTTATAGTTGACATTTGGGCAGACTTTATCTGTGCTTTTCTGTGCTTACCTGTGATTGTGTGCTTATAAGCAATCAGGTGACTGTGACCATGAACATCTGCAAACCAAGGTGCTTGGGACTATGCTTTGGCAAAGTCTGCTTCCCACCTTGATGCCTTTTGACTGACACATGGCACCTTGCTTTTGTCCCAGCCTGTAAACATTTCAAATGAAACTTTGAGGGTTTTCTACCTTGTCTGTAGAAAACGTGTGTGCATATATTTGAATAAAGCAGGGGAGAAAATCTTGTTGGAGACTTCCTGAGCAGAATTTGGAGACTGCTTTGCTCCTCAGTCTATTGTTTGAGTAGTTCACTATCTGGAGCTTGAAACCTGGAGACTTACTTGTTCTGCTATTTCTCTGGGGATTAGGCAAAGGAAGAAGAAAGCAAGACTGCTGGGCTGGGGTGTGGTTCTGTGGCAGAGTGCTTGCCTAGCCTGCGTGAGGCCCTGGGTTCAGTCTTGGGAGGCTGGGGTTGGGGGGGACAAATGGGGAAGCAGCTGGCAGCGTGCCAGAGCAAGTCACCAATCCACCATGGAAGTGCAAAGCTGAAAGTTCCCTTTGGAAGCCAAGGGCCTCTGCTCTCCTTAGCTAAAAATGCCTCTCCCCATCTGTCCTATAAAACTCACACTGAAGCCATTTTAGATTCTAAACTCTCCTTGCAGCTGAGCACCGTGTGTGTTTCGCATTGGAGCCCCTTGGAGCATTTCTGAAGCGTGATTATTAAGAGGAGCCCACGTTTGAGTACATGTGAGCCTGCCTTTCCTTGGTGGGTGTCGGGGTCTGCGCCATCACACGTGTGGCTGTGTAGGCTCTGGAAACCAGGTCGGCAGAACGGAAGACTCAAATGTGAGAGCTAAATGAGAGATGAAGAACAGTGGCCTGGAGACAGAACCCCTAGGCGTCACTGCTTGGCAGTGGCAGCAGAGAGGAAGTCAGGCTGGCCTCGTTTGAGAAAGTGTCACCAGAGCCGAGCTCAGTCTTAACAGCAGAGTGACCCTATGGGGTGAAGGCACGCCCGCGATTCCTGGTCCCTCCCTTCAGTCTGCTGCTACTATTTAAGCTGTCCTGTGCAGACATCCTGGTGCACACCCGGTGTGGGGGCACAGGCTTTCTCTCAGGACATGGAGGAGAGATTAACTCACCTCTGGACCTTGACGGTTCACCCCCACCCACCCGCCTGCCCTGGATCACGGATGGCTGACTCCATTCCCTCCACCCACCTACCCTGGGAGCATTATGCCCTCAAGCCCCTCTCTCCCTCTGTGGCTCCTTAAAACCAAACCTTTTCAATATCACCCAGCCCCATCCAGGGTTAAGAGTAACTGAGACCAAAATTCTTAGCATTTCATTTCAGCTGGGCAGCATGCCATTTTCCAGCTCTTTTCTTGGCATCTATTCGTCACTTGTGTGCCCATAAAGATACTTGTTCACAAAAGTTCCAGGGCTCAGCTGAGAAACTCTTCATGGTCACAGAGTCAGCTGTGGTGTACATGGAAGTGTGTGTTCTGGGTGTCCTTGTGTCTGTGCGTAGTCTGGGTATTAGTATTTATGTGGCTGTCATCATGGATTGAGCAGCTACTATGTGCCAACCTCTGTGAAACGTGCTTTCTGTAACTGGTCCTAGTGATTCCCCCAGCAGTCTTGCAGCTAGGTATTGTTGCCCCTAGCAAACAGCTAAGAAACCAAGATGCCTAGAGTTTGCTCTGGGTTACACAGATGGTGAAAAGCGAGACAGGGATTCGAACCCAAGTTGATCCCAGTCCAAAGCCTGAGTTGTATACCCCATCCTTGGCTTATTAACTCTTTTCCTTGTAATAGCTTTGTGAGTGCTTATTTTCCTTCTACATCCTCTCTATGGATCCCTCATTTGCAAAACGTCTTATTATTTAGCCGTTGATGGAAAACGTTT